ATACAGAGAGGCCTTGGGTTGCCTTGTTTTTTTTTTTTTTCTATGGAATTAGGGAGTCTTTTGAAATTCTAGTGCTCCCTTCCTTTTGTTTGTCACCGAGTCACATGGTTCTGCCTTTAGTGTCCTATTTCTCTTTTTTTGATTTTTTCTGGGGGACAAAATTAGCCATTTAAATAAAGTTCTTTTCTAGTGAGTAAAGAGGGTTTTCAGAGCCAGAAATCACTCAAAAGAAAGTCTGTCGACCCTACCCATGGAAAAGCCTAGAGATTTCTCCAAATATCTCTTGCCAAACTTCCTAGCGTGATTGGATGTTTCTGGTTTCACATTATTGGGTACTGAATACATTTTGCGATCCTTTTGTTCTCTTCCCCAGGGCTTCCATTACCTGGACTTCAACTCATTCCTAGATTAAAGAATTCTTTCAGAAGATTTCTTTTAAGAGTCAGGTCACAACAGAAAGGGCATCCTCCCGTTCTCCTAAATCGCAAGGGCATCTCAGGTCGTGTCTGCTTTTATGTGGCACCTTCACGTTTCTTTTTTTTCCCCCTACAGCAGCACACTGGCTATAGCAGAGGCAGATGGGTTATCTGAGATCTTTGCTGCATATCCTCTACTCCTAGCCCCAGCTAATTAAATAACATCTTCTACAACAACAGAGGAAGGCTCCAAAGCGGGCATGTCTAATGTGAATTCTGGCCAGATCTATCTCACTGCCCATTTCCTAAGGGCAACAGGAAGCAACGTGAAACTTTACTATGTTCTCTTGGGGGACCTGAGGGATTTATAAGGGGCACACCTCATTTTGAACTTCTGTGCTGAGGGAAAACACTGATTTGTGGCCTGGATTGGCCATACACTGCTGGTGTGCTTGCGTGATGGAAGTACATGTAGGTCAAGCCATTAAGATTTGCATGAAACAAACACAGCCAGAATATTGAGATGATACAAAAGAAAACTCCTACTGACTTCTAAAGAAAGCAAATCCAAGCCATTCTTTCTAAGGCCAGGAGCTACTGTGACCACCAAGATGCCTAAGAAGAAGGATGAATTGCAGCTGGAACAGAAGCAGGAAATTATCCACCAGAGTCACTCACGGCACAAATGGATTCAGAGCATTAGGAATCGAGGGAGGAAAAAGTCTATGAAACTCTTATTAGGAGCTAAAGTTTACAACTCAATTAAAATATATAGTGAAAAAATTCAATATACTTTTATTTCAGATTTTTTTTTTTTGGACTTGGCTTGTTTCTCAATCTTTCCCCATATGTAGATTTGTATCAGATCCACATGTTCCAATTCCTTCCTTTTTAGGGCTATATTTTACACATCTGAGTTTTTTTTGTTTTTTTTTGTTTTGTTTTGGTACAAATATTGGCATTTAATAGGGGGGAAATTGTCCACTATGCTGAGATGCTAGCAAGTTTTTAGTGCTAGGAAATTTATTTTTCATAAATTGTATCTACATGACTTAAGATACATATTCCTCTTTGACATTTTTCTCTTACCCTTCTTCAGCCAATTCAGTTTTAAAATCATAAATTGCTTAAAAAATGTTCTTTTCCACACCAGTTCTGGTATGCATCCCATACTCATCCTAAGAGATATTAAACCTGGTACATTTGCTTTCATTTTATCTATTTTCCCTTGGCTACTGAAAAAAAAAACTTTCTTAGCACTCAGCATCCTAGTATGAAGTTCTAAATGCAAGAAGATTGTTGGATTTGAAACAAAAACCACACACACACACACGCGCGCACACACACACACAGGATTTATGCTCATCCTCTATTCTTGAAGCAAGATATGTTTCCTTATTGCCTACGTTTGTAATTATTTAATGTAAAAGTTAAAATTGACAATCTAAAAGCATCTCTACCTCTTTGAAATAGGTATGATGGTTTATTTTCTAAAATGTAGGTAAATTTGGAAAGCAGCCATTTCAGAGGCCGGAACATGTGGTAATGGCCCCACAGCAAGTTCGCTGCTCGTCTAGATTAGATCTTCCACTCCAATCTAGCTGCTTCTTCTCTCCAGAGAACAATCTGTCAACTACATTAGGCTATGGGATGTTTGGGAAGAAGAGACATACACGTAGACATGTAGAAAAAGTCTACAGCTATGCAAACCTGGATGGTCCGTGTTGTCATAATGAAAACATCACCTCACCAAAAAATTTTTTTAGGGATCCTCTGACATTTTAAAATAAGAGATACTTCCTTTAGAGGGAAAGGATAAATATTAGGCTTTCAAGCCCAACTGGAAGTTTCCCCCCACATATTCTATAACAAAAGGTGGATTTTAACCCAATTGCTTAGCTTTTTTACAGGGCAAATCAGTATCAAGGCAAATGGGTCTCCCTCAGATTTGAAAAGCAGATAGCTAAATGTGGCCCATAATGGCATTCAAGATCAACTTTTCTGGAGGTACCATGAATTCTGTCTAAATAAGGACATTATTTTAAATCAGCTGTCAAATAATTAAAATATTTTAAAGTGGCTTTTGGCCTTCTTTCTTCGTAACATATGCTAAGCAATATCATGTCATTTTCCTCTATATTAAAAATTTTTTTCTTAATGTCAATTTTTTCTTTATTTCACGGAGTGAGTGACTTGTTTTCATATCGAAACAATTCCACGACATAGTTAATTAACTAATGCTCCCTCTGTTGGTAGTAAGTGGAAATATTAGAGTCTCACAACATTGCTATTTCATAAAGCAAAATTAGCAGGAGAAAAAATGGACTTTTTCTTACTTCTGAAGTTGTTTTCTACTAACTCTTTAAACAGGCCAATTTTAGACACCCAGTTCTTGGCAGGACTCCTCTAAGAAATCAAGATGGGCGATACTCAACAGTCAGTTCACCATCCAAGTCTACAACAAAACTTCTAGCAACATATTTACTGAATTAAGGACCACAGGACCAAATCAAACTCACACATACTCCAGTTGCACTGATCCTACTGAACATCACAAAGAACTTATGGAAAAGATCCAAGTTAACTAAAAGTCTAAAATATAAAATAGATGGGTAAAACCAATTTAGTCATTACGGAGTTGCTTCCCTTGGAAGACTTCTCGTTTGCTACACAGTTTTAGAAAGAAAGTTGCTGAAAGGAAAATTAATTACAATGAAAAGTAATTTTGAAATTGAAATACTCTTTTTCTTTTTTAAAATGCAGTTTGGTGTTTCTGTTTTGTCTGAAGTTTTACTTTTCCCTTTAAGTGAGTTAAAACATGCTCAGCAAGGTCATCGCCTTTGACGTTTTTGTTAGGTTTAAGAATTCGTACATTTGCATTGGAATCCTTTCAGGACACTGTCTAAAAATGAAAAAAAATCTCTATTATAATACTTTGATCAGGACCGAGGAGAGAAATCCCAACTAGGAAGAGAGAGTGGCACCTAGGATGATACAATGGATTGGTGGCCTTTGAATGATAGATGTTGGCATCTGCAAAATTGTTACTTTCTTTAAAACCTTTTCAAAAAGTAAGAGTTAATAAATCATCTAAAGAATGATCATCATATTTCTCCCTCTCACCCATGGTGGAGATAGCCAGAAGGTAATATTTGAAAGGAAGAAAGTCATTTTGGCATCAAGGCATCCTGCTCTGTAACAGGCTTCTGATAATGCTGCTCTCTGTGGTTGTGAAGGTTGAGGAGCAATGGCAGAGTTTTGTGAACTCCTCCTCCAGGCTGACTACAAAAGGAAAGAACCCATTTGTCAAGACTTCTAAACTTCTAGTGTTTCATCAAAGAAAAAAAGTAAAGTCAATAGAAATTCTAGAATCTTAAGATCTCAATGAACTTTTAGAGAACCAAGAAATCTGTTTGTGAAAGATAAAGTCCCTCCCATGAAAAAGAACAGAATTCTAAATGGATCAGTCGAAAAAAAATTCAGTGGAGCAACCTAAGCTTGCTAAAAGTCAAAGAACTACATATCAAAATACAAAGCAGCAGTTCAAATTACAGCAGGGATGGGCTGGCCACAGAGGCCCTCATCAACCCAGGCAATACTTAAAATAATAAAAATTAAGAAAAATTAAAAAAAATATGAAGAAAATATCCTTCCTCTCTTTCAAATATAACTTTAATTGCCTTTTATTCTTTCTATCTGGAAGCAGTATCGCTAACCTTAACAGTCTTGACTTACCAAAAAATATATATATATATGTGTGTGAAATAAAATAAAAGAGAAGGGATTGGTGGCAGTGTATGCAAAACCAAAATGGAAAAAAAATTACTTTTAACAATCTCACTTTTTTTTTGTATTTTTTTTTTACACAAATACTGTTGTAAATATATTAAAAAAATCAGCATTCTATCTGGTAAACGTCACTTTTGCCCCTCTATAAAATTTTCAATTAAAAAAGCCTCAAGAACTTTTGATTATTCCCCCCACCCTCCATTTCTCTTTCTTTTTCTCTTCCACAAGAATATATCCTGACACTTTTTTTTGTTTTTTGTTTTTTTGCAAAGATTGTTGGAAATAATCCCTCTCTTGTACCTAGAAATGTAGGTGCAAACCTCTGATATCTTTG